GAAACGGACAGGGTTTACCGTAAGTTGGGTACAAAGGTCCGGGTAATTATTCAAATTCGTCGACAGTGGGATTTGAATCCCAGACCTCTTGCATGGCGGTCTGGCAACCTAACCACTACACTAAGATCGCCAGACCTTGATAGATGTTTTTTAATACTAATTATAGTTCAATTTCAATTAGAAAAAAGTTAAATATTAAGAATGCTATATACTACGTATCTAAGTCTTGAGATACCGTTAAAGACCAAGTAATTGTTAATTGTTGGAAGAAGACCAGAATTCTATCATCAGTTTCCTATGAAGAAATAGAAGTTGCTATTAAGAGTCAGGATATGTTGTTAGAACAGCAAGAAGAGGATGTCAATGACTTGGTAATAGACTTGACCTCTCAAGATCCAGAAATTAAAAGCCAATTAAATACATATTTAGATCTCAGTGATTTGCATATAATAACTGAGGAAAAGCTTGAAGATTCGGAAATTATTGAAATTGTTATAGATGAAGTAAATTAATGCGAAAATGGAGATCCTGATGACTCAGATAAAGAACAACCAGAAATTTCTATTTCAGAAGGGCTAATGAGTTTAAATAAATTTATTAGTTTTTTTGAACAACAAATTGATGCAGATTTCAAAGCTAAAAATCTTAAAATTTTTCAAAAATACTTAGCATTGTTAAACCGAAAATATAGAGAATCTAAGCGCCAAGCATCTATTAGTGATTTCTTTACACAATTAAATAATGAGAATAATTATGATGTATTGTGACTTTTTTTTTTTTATATACATATATGTACATTTGATATCACGTGTTTATTTTTATTAAGGAGAAAAATTATAGTAACTTGTGTGATAATTATAAATAATCCTTAGTATAAAATATTTTGAAAAAATTTTCTTTCGTAATTTGAGAATCAAGGCATTCAGTATATTAAAATACTTTAATAAGTTCATTGTACTAAAAGTGTGAAAAAAAAAGCCAGATAATAAAAAGTTGATCAGTTTTAGGCATCAATAGAAATTAAGCAAATTACTATTTTTTTTTAAAAAAATTAATGTCTTAACTTTTATAGCTCATATCTTGATGAACTTCGAAACTATTTTCGTGATTTAAATAAAAGATTTAAGCTTTTTTTGACTATTAAATAATAAAATAATATCAAGATATGGGCTTATATAAGTTAAGGTATTAATTTTTTTTAAAATGTTAATCTGCTTGATTTATATTGATGATAGCCTAAGGTATAAGTTTTTAACTTTTTTAAATCTTCATTGTTTTCAAGTTGCATTAGAATATGATGAATATATTTTTGCTTATATTTGGATTTGAAACTTTTGATAACACCTGCATCCATAGGCTGCAGATGTGCAGTGGTATTTGGGGGTAAAAATTCAAGTTTAATATTAGTTAATTCTATGTTTGAATAATCAGGAATAATACGTGGTTGACCATAACCACTACCATAATGACCCTTACTCCTACCAGTACTATGTTTACCATGTTTACTATGATTATCATGACTATTATTTGCACTCTGATTAGTTCAGGTTAATCTTAGTCGACTTCAACCTCGACGATTCCTATATGAAACAGTTGTTACTTCAAGTTCTGAATTATTAGATGTTTTTTCATCTAAATCAGAATTTGATTCATTCAATTCATATGTTTCATGGGTACTAGGTTGGTTATGAAAATGTGATGAGGCATTATCTACTAACAACAAGACTTGGCGATTCTGAAGGCGAAATTTCCGATCCAAATTTATTAACTATTCAGAAAATATGTCATTTCGCATCTATGCCCAGAATTTGCATGATAAGTAACAGGTAAGGAATCATAATTAACATTATGAAGTGCACGAGGAGAAACTGAAGACCTAATTACTAATGGTTTTAATTTTTCGGTTCCTGTTGCGTTACATGTTAGCATAATAGTAATCCGTGAATGATTCTAATTATTATGCAAATTAAAATGCTTAGAATAAGAAAATTTTATTTGTACTAGTGAATAAGTTACCTGATATATGAAAAAAAAATTAAACTTTGCTAATTTCTTAAAATTTATTATGAAAACCAATTTAGGTTTTAAACAAAAATGTTTATTGTACAATTTTACATATACTATAATTTGTGGCAAATAGTACCTGGGTTTTTTACAATTATATTTACGAAATATACTTTATTAATCCTAGGTACAAATCATGGTAAGCTAACCAAGAGGGTTTCAAAATTAACTTAGTCCCAAAATAAGTAGGTAAAAAATATTAATCGTATTACAAGAAATGTATGAAAAAAACATACACAAGATACAAGAGAATATTATTACTACAAATATTATAGTAAATACATTTTTCGTAATACTATTTTTTATATACTGGATAACTTTACTATACAGGTAACAAATATCATTAAATTTATTATAATTTATAATAACTAGCCTTTTTAAATCTAGGTCTTGATCGGGAGGCAAGTGTTTAGTCTGGTGCTATACGGTAGAATAGCTCTATCTTATCCACATTAAATACATTATTCAACGTATAATTTTCAATCAACTCACGTAATTTTTCTCTATATTCCGGAAGCGAAGATAGTGGTGTGCTGCTAGCTTCTCCATTAATCTAAAATTTCTTAGATTATTACGCTGTTTAAATTTATGAATCTATCCGTTGGAAAATTTTAAAGCATCATCGCCTAGGCCCAAGTCACTTGCAAAAGAAGCTGCCTTTTCTTTAATCATTAATTCCGTTAGAATTACTTCGCTGTTAGTAATTTGTTCAACCCAGAGTCTCATTGATTGATCTAATAAAGGATATTTCACTTTTTTACACCGAAAAACTATAGAACTTAATTGGTCTTCTGTAACTGCTAACCATTTTGACTTATCATTTAATATCTTTGAAATAGTGGTCTGATCCAAATTTAAGTTGGGGTCTTGAGAATTGAAATGGTCAGCGATATCTATTTGCCTTGTGTTAGGATTATTTTGACTATATTCATATATTTCGTGTTTCAAATATTCACTAACAGCTGTTCTCGGTCTTTTTTGTGATAAATTTTTAGATGACATTTAAGAATTTTATTTAAAGTGATTTATGGAACTAATAGCTCTTTTATATTTAAAGTATATACAAGGCCTATTAATCTTTAAATAACAACTACAATTACAAAATTTATCTATTTGAAACAACGCAAGTAATGGTAGGTTGGAATTTTAAATTTTTACCTTTTCTAAATAATTTATTATTATTTTTTTTTTACATCATATTTTTCAAAGGATAGTAACGGTAAGTATTATTGATAATTAATTTACAGATTTTCTAATTACTAACAAGCTTTAATTATATGCTCTGTTTGGTAAATTTTGCATTACGCAGAAACAGATCTCAAATTACAATTGGATTTCACTTCACAAGCTGATAATGACGATAGATAATGGTTTGAATTTCAAGTTTGCACAATCGATAATAGTTTGGTCAAGTTCACACGAGTGATATTGGAATGATTTAAACTTCAAATTCATATAGATTTGATGTACACCACCAATTATTGCATTTTTTTTTTTTCTCATTTTTTTAATTGAATTTTTTGGTCATTTAAGAAACATATCTTAATGATTATATATAAGCGTGCTAAGATAAAACCTGTAAATACAAATTTAAATTTTGTTATACCAGACTTCTGAAAATTAGGTTCTGGTTATTTTATATACAAATACGATTAATTATGTTTAAAATACTATCAATATGGCACAATTTCTGATTCAAGTCTAGTATAGTGAAATTCAAATTTGTAATTACAGATTTCTCTTTAAATCAATTTAAGTGACGCCAAATGAGAAATTCAAATCGGATACTGATTAAAAGGTATCGTGGGAAATTAAGAAAAATTAAAAATTGCAAGTTTTTTATTTGTTTAAATTGATCTGATCAGTAAGTATAACTGCAGTAAGTATAGATAATTTTTGATTTGTTTAATTATTTACTTGCTAATCTAAAATTGAATGATAACCGGAAGAGACTTGCACAGGTTGAAATAAAGTGCATGATAAGTATTCTAGAAATATTAGATTTTGATTTTCTGATTCTTGGTGCCCATCATGACAAAAACAAAGACATATCGAGAGCTGACAGAACTATCAGATATTTGATAAAGCTATCAAGTATCTGATAGTTTTTTTAATAGCTCTATTAGCTCCCGATATGTCTTTGTCGTTGTCACGATAGGTGCCAAGAATCAGAAAAAACCAGAACCTGATATTTTTATAATACTTATATAAAATTCTTTGAATCTGTGGATTTTATTATATCACGCATCTTTTTTTTGAACAAAAATTATCAAGCTTTTCTGCATATAGAAACAAATTCAAATTTTACTGATTATGAGGCTGATTCTTAAAATTATTTTATTTAATGCGATATGGCAAAAACTTTATGATGATTGCATATTATGTAATAACCTTAATTTACAATCCTGTTGATTCAAGTTTCAATACATCAGGCTTTTGCTTTTAGAAATTTTTCAGACACTATTTTGAAAGAAATAAGCAATGTATTTGTTTAAAAATAAACAATCTATAAATTCTATTCCAGTGAAGGTCATAATGTCCAAGAATACTCGTCAGTTTTAATTTGTGGTGGTGGAGCCTAAGGATAAAATATAGTGTAGTTCAGAATTGGAAAAAAGGTGATGTGAAAAGAGTAAAAGGACACAAACAAGGTCGTTTTCACTATGGAACCAATTTTATAATAAGTGTAAGTTTATTTAACGACCTGCTACATCAGCAAAAGTTTACATAAAAGATATACGAAATCTGTAATACAGTACAGTACTATATAATTTAATTTAATAAATTGTTTTTTAATGTGATTTACTGTAATTAACTGCTGATTAAAATTAAAGTACCAATTTAATAACATATCTAAAATTTTATCTCATAAAAACAAAAAAAATACAATTTTTTAAAAGTGAGTTGTACTAAATTTTTTTTTTCGAGAAATGTAAAATTTTTTTGAACTAACGCTATTAAAATATAAGATTTTATTATACTTTTACATCACTAAACAAATATTGCAATAATTTTATTAAATTTGACTATACTATTATCGATATAGCTACTAATACTACATTTTGCGATTTTAAAATTTTAAACAAATCTGATTTCTTAAACCCTTCTGCTACAGTATTTATTTTAATTTTGAAACTCCTTTTTATAAATTGCTTATTCTTGTCATCAGCTAAGTATATGAGTGGAAATTTCACTAGTTATTGATAACAAAGTGATATTTATAAACAGCTTAGCTCAAATCGAAATGATCCGAAATTGATCAGATTCAGGTTTCAAGTTATACAGGTGATCTGAGTGAAGAAATTGCATTCGGGTCACATCTTGTATATGATTATATAAGAGGAGTTTTATTATTAAAAATTTTTATAAAAATAAAAATATATGTGATAGTGATTATAAACCTATTGTGATTATATAGAAGGTTATTTAATAATAAAAAAATAGGGATTTAAAAAGAAGTGATTATATAGAGTTTGTGACTCTATAGAGGGTGATTATATGGGGGGACGACTGTAATAATTTTTCAAAAATTATTATTATTTTTACAATCTGAATAAACTAGCTAGCTTAAGTAGTTAGATATTATAGTGATATTAGTTAGTAATAGAAATAGATTAGTTAAACAGAGTATTTAAATAAGTAACTTACAGACAAGTTATAGATATAGTAGTATAGTATAGTACTAACAGGTAGTTTAATATCTATATAGCAGACTACTTAAATTAGATAATAATTAAAGTTGTACATATGACTTGTTGTATACTCTTTATATAACTAAAAACTGTAATGATTATCTATATATAATTTTATACAACTAAGTTATACTCTTTCTAATGATCACTCATACTAAAATTTTCTAACTTATTTTTTTAAAAAATATACAATAAACTTTGTAAAAATACAAGAGTGACAAAGTAGAGAAGTATAAGATAGCATCTATTATTTAGAGATAGTTCTTATATATTATCTGCTAACAGATTCAGAGTTTATTACTTATTGTAATATCAAAGCGATACTTGTTATTTAAAAATAGTTCTCATATACTATTTGCTAACAAGCTTAGAGTTTATCACTCATCTTCTAAGGATAAATACTAGCTATACTCTAAATAAATACAAGTAAATAATAGATTTTAAAAAATATATACTTTCATTAAAAATTTTTTAATACTACTATCATTTCTCTCACAGGTCTTTTGGATTTCTTTTTACTAAAAATTAAAAAAGGATCTGCAAGTTTGTACAACTTCCTAATTTGACAAGTCATCTGTTGATATGCAACTTAGTCAAGACAACAAACATATATATCACTATTATATGAATGATCTAATTAGAATTTAATTTCTGAACAAGTCTAATATTAGAGATATATGTTCTTGTTTTTGCATAGTATAATATTTTTATATTTTGTCATACTCTTTTTTTCTTTATATTAAAAAGAGTGTTTGTTTTCTTTTTCTTTATCTTTTCATTTGTAAGAGTTTTTAATCTAGTAGCAGATTTTTCCCTTATTAGTTTAGTTTATATAATTAGCTATATTTCATTATATGCAATAATTTTTATTTTTAACTTAAACTAGGTATTAATAGTTTGTAATTTAGTTTCAATTAGATTAGAAGCAATCTAGAACCTTGTTAAGATATAAAAGAACCTATTGTTAATTTAAAAAAACTACTTTACTTAGGTAGAAACTTTTTAGAGAGATAAATACTTTTTGCAATAGATCGTATCTGAGTAGTATAAGGCAAGCTGAGTGGATCTAAGATTGCAAAAGTAGAAAACATTTATAGTTTAGAACATTAGCTTTTTTTATTTTTATATTATAATTTTCTTTATATAATCTTTCACTAATAAATCAAGGATAAGGTCACCTAAGTTAAAAAAAAAATATATATATATAATTTTATATATAAACTAATAAAAATCATCTAGTAATGTAAGCTACCTTAAAAAAAAAAAAAAAAAAAATATTATTTTTACAAATTTTTTGTTCTGTTTTTACTTTGGTTTTTCTTTTTTGTTTTAGCTTTTTCTACAACAAAAAAAAAAAGTAGATATATTTTTCAGTAATCATGAGCTTTTTGCTAGTTAGGTTATACTATAAGCTTTAGCTAGTATAATTCAGTTATTTTTATTTTAAACTATAAGCTTTTTGCTAGTTTTCTATTTGAATAAACTTTTGCTTTAGTAGATATTTTTTCTTTAATATTTTTCCTTTTTTAGAACAAGTAGTAGTGTACTATAACAATTTTATCAAGAAGCTATTCAAACATATTGTGAAGAATATTTAACTAAAGATTATAGAGTTGTCTTAGTTATTCAAATACTTGTACCTAATACAACTTGTACTGACTGCTACCTAACAAAAAGAACAAGCTGATACTAATTTTTTGGAAGATTTTAGAATTAGTATTAATGAACCTATAATACTTTAACCTATAGTAAAAGAAACTATAACTTATTTTATAATCTAGACTAAATACATAACTTAACTACTGCTAGAACAATTTGTCGAGATATTATATTTAGTTGTACTTATTGAGATAACAACTATAATCTCTGAGAAATTATAAGTTAACTCTTTGCTCGATATACTCACTACAATATATCTACTTTTGATCTTACATACTATAATCTGTATGATTATTATTTTGAATTAGAATACTATCCCTATTAGCAAAACCTCTTTATAACTTAGATATATTCTGAACTAGGAAGTCTTCAAATATTAGTTAATACGCTATTAATATTTAAAGACCTTATAATACCTTCTCTACTTCTTAATTTACCTCTACCTATAAATCTCTTATCTTCACTACAACAACAACTTACAATAGGTAATACTACTTTGACTACTACTACTATAGCAATAACTAACTTTGCTAATGCCTTAGAACAAGGATCTGAGAAGAGCCTCATTAAAGTTAAATACTTCTGAAGAGATAAAACTCAAAACTCAGAAGAATAGTTCGAAAAATTTAGAAGAGCTACTACTATAAACAG